GGCCACACCTCCCGCCCATATTCGGTTAAGCTGGTTATGGCCTAGTACACAAACACATGCGGCTTTGTTGATTCACATGAAATTCTTCGATCAAACATTGGGGAATTCCGAAGGAAACTCCTTCAATACAACAATATAGGTCTTTTCGGAAACACATTTAACATGACGCTAACAACCCATCATAGCACAGTTTTATCAGGATCATACCGGTCACCAAAATGGTGAGGAGACTAGTCTAATTAAAACCGGTCTTACCGCATGTCCTTTGGCGTGATCAGATTTTATTTTTTAAAACAATAAAATTGATATTTTAAAAATATATAATATATTTAAAAAGACATTACCCAACTTGTTTTGGCCGGTCAAACCAGTCAATCAAATAGGCAAAAACTAATCAAGTATTGTTTTTGACTAATTCTTACCAAATTCAATTTTTTATCCAGACCAAAACGGACCAAGGCACTAGCAACAATCTAATTAGTCGGACCGCTGGTCCTGTCTGGCCTTCTAATTATATCCAGCATCGGCCATAGATGAAGTCAACAAATGTAACCCACCAGTAAAACCAGCACTCCACCAGCAATTTTGCAAAGAAAACGCAGTTTTTGGGAAATTTTGCTTTCTTCCCCGCCGTTCTTTGAGTCCCACGAGGGTTTTTTTGCCTATCTCAAAAATTTGAGATCACACCATGTAAATAATTTACATTTCATCATCCATGAAACAATTAATATTGGAAGGAGGATACATAAATAAAAGACAGAGAAACAACCCTAGACAATTTGACAGAAGTCGGCACCACAATCCAAACTAGATGGCATCAACACGAAGGAAACCGACTTCTCCATCCTCAATGCTTCATCCTAAGTGCCACCAAACTTCACCACTTACACTTCTCTCGACCTTTCTACGTGTGTAAAGCTCTAGCAGGCTAGAGAAGATGCATGTTCCGTGAGCAAGGATGAGTGGCACACAGAGAAATATTTCAAATTTTTAAAAATACTTTGAAATTTTGCAATTTAATACTTCAAGTATTTAAAAATAATTCAAAATTTTTAGAATCATCAGTGTTAATCTTAAGACGGTGTTTGAAAATCTAATGACCTGGATCAGAAATCGTCAATTTGGACCGGAAATCGCTTGGGACCGAATCAATTCCGGATGGTATTGGTATTTCTTGTACATCTTAATCCTCTAAATCCCCCTTTTCATACCTTTTTCTTTTCTTTAAGTTTCTCATGTTTTTCCCAAAATCCCCCGACTCCCCCTCCAAAAACAAAGAAAAATAAAAAACCTCTTCCATTAAATGACAAAAAATAACTCCTGTGTTTTAATTTTTCAATATTTTCTTGATTACCAATTCGAACCGATCCGGATCGGTGATCAATGGTGATCCGTCGCACCAATTCGGTTTTGAAACACCAGGTCAACGAGTGCCACAACGCCTCTATTTGTAGGAGGACAACACGTGGCTTATTCCTCTCTTCCGTTATTTACCTTGTAAGAAAATCTCAAGGAGGCTGTGTCAAACTGACTTACTGCATGGTGCAAAGGGCAGGTGTCACGGGGACTTAGCCCGTGCAGCTTTGACACCCAAGCGAGCAATACTTGGATGCCAAGTTAAACATCTCTCAATGTCTTACATGGATAAAGTGCCGCCAATCCTTGGTCATGCACCACGGTCCTATGCCTATCGACTACAGTCCACTCCTCACCCCAAGGTCCCCTTTACGATCCAAGACGATCAGGCCCTCAGCTTCATCATGTCAGTCTGCACTTGCCCACACTGTTCGTACCTTTGCACCAGGTCCTTTGCATCTGGCTGCAAGGGTAAAGTGCTACCAATCCTCGATCATGCTTTGCCGGCCTCTGGTTGCGTATTGCCTTCTCCCAGTCACATGCCACTTCCTCAGTTATAGGACTCCTCCTCAACTAAAGTCATCACTTGACTCCTCCTTGGTCATAACCAACTATCACGGGGTGATTCTCTCAATTCCACCCACGTGTGGCGCCTAGCCTTAGTCCTCGCACAACTAAGCCTAAGCCAACCTTCACACACCATGCATGCACAGAAGGGAGTTAGAGTCAATCAACCACAAAAGGGCACTCTCACAAATGCTATGAATAGCCAAGGGCCTCAGCCCAATTTATTTCATTAGACAATTGCAAATAGCCAAGGGCCTCAGCCCAATGTATTTCATTATACAATTGCAATGTGTGTACAGCCATGGTCCCCTCACTCTAAGCCAAGCAAGGGGGTACTTATAGCCCCCCATATTTATATTTAAATTTCACAGCCATAGCGGTCATGCCACCACCATGACCGCTACATAGAGGCCACCTGCCCTCCATGCACTCTGTGTCAGCTACCTGGCCGCCCACCACATGGGTCGGTTATGTTTTGACCGTGCCTATGTCCCATGTTATGTGCCAACTAGGCATAATTTCCCACCAATCATGGTGGCCGTTATGCCCACCTTTCTCATTCCCTCAATCCACGCCCTTTGGCTCATGAATAGAGGGGTCGGTTACACCTAGTCACCCCACTGCTCTAAGGGTTGACTAGTCACGCCTTTGCATAGGACGGTTACAAGAGTCCAGTGGCATGCACTACCACTCACATATTAAGGGCTATGGCCGTTACATGAGCCCATGCATGTGCGGCTACACATTTTGAACCCACACATATTCGTATCGCACACCTACCCAGCAAGCTGTATGGCTCGCCTCTTGCACACAGTCCTCTTGACCATGTCCTGTCAAGTCGAGCCATCTCTTGGCCAACAGCCTACTTCGTCCTCTGCCCAAGGCCTCACGCTAAGGGTTTTTAGCCACCACCTTCTTGTGCATGTACCATGCACCTAGTGCTGAATACAATGGCCCCTCGAGCAGGTCAAAGAAGATGGTAACACATTCTTCTCAACTATAGTTGTAAGCCTAAAGAACAAGCCCTTCATGACTTACAACTCTGCTCTGCCTAAGTTGATATGTGCTGCCTGATGCACCAAGGGGTTTACTAAACCCTTAGCCATCAAGGCACAATGCATACCACTTGGCCTGCACCACACACATCATGCTGCTAGTCGGCCTGCACCATGCACCAACCTCACATCTAGCTGCAACATATGGACCAGGCTGCCTGTGTCATGCGCACTATGCCACCGCCTACACCATATGCACCAGGCTACGTTGCCTAGCAATAACTGCTCCTTCAGTTCTTGCTTTTAGGCCTCTCAAGTGCTCACCTTAGCCTTGAAGTTTCCTGAACCCTAATCCTCCACCACGGCTTCGCATCTCCAGCGAGGAACGTGGTGCAAATGGCAACTCAATCCTTCTCATGAGCATGAGCAGCCTTGAAATACTACATGTCCCATAAGATGTTCTCCAAATCCTTCTCATTGAACTGAATTAAAGAAGGATAAGGTGTTTAAATCCATACCATATATCATGATGGCATGATGGTGGATGGTAGGCTAGAATCAAACCTCTCTTTGTAGCTATTGAATGTTAATATGGAAAGCCAAGATTCATTAATCTAGAAGTATCTCTACACTTAATGGTTTGAAGTCCTTAAAATACCCCCTTGAGCCTTCATTTCACACGAGTTCACATTCAATCTCTCTAAAAGTGGCACCCCATTCTCTCTCTCTCTTCACTCACAGAGTGGCGTGCCCAAGCCACTTCTCCTCTTCATTTCTCTCTAAAGATTGTCTTTAAGTTAAAGTGAGAGAAAACTCCATTTAAGCTTCTTCATTACTCTTTTAATGGTGATCCAAAGCTCAAATTTAAGTCATCGATGATCTAGTCTTCAAACCTGATACAATTGAATTGATTCTCATTGTTTCTCCTCGTTGTAAATTCTCAATTATAGCAAGTTATCTTCATCGCTTGATGATATAATCATTGATCATTTGAATCCATTTTGATCCCTCTTGATCTATATAGTTGAACGCATTATCCATGCATAGTTTGATCTTGTTTCCATGAGCTTTTCTCTTTGATTTTTTGAGTACTTTTGATTGATATTTTTTGAGATTTTCATTATCATATCAGACATTTAGATCATTTTGTATCCCTTAAATTGTTATTTTATAAGAAGAGACTATGCTAAAATTTTGTGGCTTAAATTATGAACTCAATTGAACCGATTTTGTGTTTTAAGAGCCCTCCCACAAATTCCCCACTTGATTTGATATTTAGATATCTGTTAATCCTTCCATGTTTTAAATGTATATTAATAGATGCTTGGCCTACCATTTATGAGACAATGAATTTAGCTGATTTTTTAGATATACCATCGCATGTCACACAATGACACAGCTAAGACTCAAGACCACAAACCGAGCACCCGAGAACTCCGATTGACTTCCCAAGGTCATGATGCATTGCACACTTTTAACATGTGAATGTTGGAGATCATGTTTTGTTGAGTTTTATGAAGTTTATTGATGTATAATTTTACCTTGTAAATTTGATTGGTGCGGAATTTTCAAAAGCACCATATACATATGTAGCTTGATGATGTCCTTGTGTAGTTTGTTATGTTCATATATAAGGGATCCTAATTGAGTTGTATCTTCTCAGAGGAGTGTATTTTGAAGTCAATTGTTCCCTATAGTTACGCTGACCTTGCTGTAATTTAATTTTGCAAGTTGTATTTTCAAGTGTATTGAAAATTTTCAAGGTGTATTGTATTGTATTTTGACTACATGTACCCCAAGTACAAGAGAATTGATTTCTATACACTCACAAAATTAAGGAGAAAAACCAAAAAAAACCACTACCATAGATGGAACTTGTGTCACCTATCTATCGTTCAAGATGTGATTGAAGCATGTCCATTTGTAAAGAAAGGTCTCCATCTTTTCTCAGTCCTTAAGAGTAGGGTTGTTTCAACTCTAAGGCCCTGCATGCCTGCAATCAATTGTTTGTCAATCACCTGCTCTAATTTTCATGGGAATGAATGAAACAAGGAACATCATAACAAGGCACACAGTCCTGCATAAATTGAACCATCGTGATATAAATGTAAATGTAAATTCATTATTTTTTCTTGGAAGGACTTTTGCCTGTGTCGTCTGTTACCCCCGTTGTGAATCACCCCCTAGTTATTCTCCTATAGTGATTATATATGCCTTTTGTCCTCAAAAAAAGCAAGAAATTACAAACAAGCCCCACAACAGAGAGACACCCCCACCACACAAACGTTGTCCGATAACATGCTGCCCCCATGCACACGATTGCACCATCGTTCTCTCTTCCATTAAGATCATAGATAAGGGCAGCAATTGAGCCATACACCAAAGATCCAATGGGTATGTTAGTGATAAGTATGTTGTGATTAACCCCGAAAGCATTAGGGCCGAAAAGCTCGGCAGTTACTGATACTGTGGCCGCAAATATGAAGCCTGAGCTTAGGGCAATGAGTGCAGTGCTTATGTACACCATACGTGCGGTGCTCCCTGAAGCTATTAGGATAAAGAAAGCAATGGGGGTTGGCACTAAGGCCATTGCAAGTGAGCCAGTCCGAGCAAATGACATCCACCTGCACAATCCACCAACACACCTAGAATCAATATATGTTTTTTAGGTTTTTATTGGGAAATTTTGATTATGAAGACCACTTTTTTGCGACTGGTTCTCTATGTTCACCCTTAGGTGGAAGGAATTCGTAATCTTGTTTCGAGTGCAACTAAAGAAAGCACGGTTACAAATAGCAGTCACTGAAAAAAGGGGAAGTCTACTACGGACCGACATGCACAGGAAAATCATTCGACTATTCGGCCATCACCATCCAACTAGGGGTTCGCTGGTTGCAAAGAGTGGAGTCAACCAAAATGTGACATGATCCCAATAATGGACCCCTCTCTGTATACCCCACCATCGATTATTTGGATGGTGATGACTCAACTAATGTTTTTCCATAGTATGTGGGACTATACTATGTTTTTCCCACGAGGAAAGAAATAAATTGGATGTCATGCATGCGGAGCTTTTACTATACTCCCTGTTTATATCTTGTATGGATATAAACAAGTCTTTCAGTCAGCTATGGCCAAATGGGGAGCTCCATTCCTCCCCTCGAAATCCATCAAAAATTTCGATCTGAATTTAGAAAAGACACACACCATTGGGTATATGTTTGAAAAGCTATTCATATCTATATGTAGTATATTCTCACTGAAAGACGAGCCTTTAGGAGGTCACAAAACAATTTTTAGCTGGAAAGTTTCATTTGGAAAAGCATGCCACACTCAACAGTCCATTCTTAACATGGTTGAGATGGACCACTGAATAAATTATGGGATGTATTGTTCCAGAAAGAGGTAATATCAGTCTCAACCATCCGCTATAGAATGTATGGCTGATACTGTGATGCCATTTTCCCCATAGACTTTGGCAAGGGCAAGGCAACCATAGTGTAGTTTCCCTTAAGAGGCTTACAAGTGACAGGGAAGGGGGAAGGTTTTAGAAGTGCATCCAGTTCTGAGAAAACAGTGAAACTAACTGAAGCTCCTCCTGTTCTTAGAAAACCTTGAAGTAATGCCAAAACTATCACTTCCTTGAAACAACCAAATCACACCAGCATTCTTGTGTACGATTTCGTACAGTTTCAATAAATTTGCAAATACCCCACAGTTATTGGAAGAACTTTAAAGAGATGCATCAGTATTCAAATATGAGAAAGCAATTGTTTTAAGAACATAAAACAACCACTGGGGCTTCCCCAATACAAAACTCAAAACTTCAAAAAGCCTTTAAAATGAAAAAAATGCTACTAAATGTTCACATTTTGAAAATTGGAAAATCAAAAATTGAAAATAGAAACCCCAATACACTTCAGTGTACCTGGAAAAGATAATGTCTTAAAATTGAACAAAGACAGTCCCATTAATAGACAACTAGCTCCATGTGTTTGGGAGGTAAAAATCAGAATTCCTTTTTTTCTTTCTTTTTTAAATTGTTATCTTATGATTCCTAGTAGGAAAACTCCTCTTAAAGGCTCACTAAATACTACTCATGACTATATTACACGTAATTAACATAAGCCACCATAAAACGTTTGGGTGAACAAGTCACCCTAAAACTAGCAAAACGAATAATTGGCCTCCCAAGCTTCTAAAACCGCTAAAATCTGACCCAGTTCTTGAAAAATGAAAGAAGTGCCCTTACAACTCCCCCACTCAGAAAATGATGAGACAAATAGCCATAACCCTACCAGCTTTAGAAAAATGATCAAAACACCTCAAACAGATTTTTGGATGTTCAACTCCCCCAAAAGGAAAAGAAACTTGAACACGAGCAAGGAGAAAAGATTCTGATCTTACCCTCTAGAGTAATCTGGCCATGCAGAAAGAAGTCTTCCAAAAAAGGAGAATGAGGAGTAGAGAGAGACGATGCTCGATGCCCCCGACGTGCCCCCGACCGACTGCAAAATCTGGCCCATATTGTTACTGTACACCAGCCCCACTGTGCCCCCACAAAAATACCCCATAAAATACAACCAAAAATCCACCCTCCGCACCAGCCTACTCACATTATGCTCGTCACCTAAGTAGGCAAGTTTGTCCACTCCAAGAATGTAACTCCATAATTGACCAAAGTACCCTCGAATCCTTGAAAACAAATAATTTCCATCTTGCTCCTCGAGTTCGAAGCCATCACCATGATCCCCTTTCTCTTTCTCATGCACCAAGAGCTCCTTGGTCAAATCCAGGTCGTCGTTGTCAATGAGATTGAATCCTGGCCCTTCAAGCCTGAAGCTGGAGTGGATAGTCCTCTTTGCCCAATCTCTGGCATATATAATGCCGGGTATACACAATGGAAGTATCATGAAGATGATGGCCCCTGCAAAGAGGGCCCTATAGATATCTAGAGAGGTAAATTTCAAAGAATCCATTGAGAGTAAGTATATGCCTATGACTATGGCTAAGATATTTAAAAAAAGAAAGACCACAGCATCGCGGTTTGCAGCTTCCTGGTCTAGGGGCCTAGGCTCGGGCTGTCGAAGAATAGGGGGGAGTGCAGCAATAGAGGCAAAGAGAGGAGCAATGGCATTGAGTAGGAGATAGACAGAGCCAGAGGAGGAGAGGGTAATTGAGCGGGCAGCAAGGTGGTAGATGGCGGCGCTCACACCATTGTAGCTTATGGTGAGGGCGAGGGCAATCGGGCGGTTCACTGGGAAGTTGCGAATGCATAGCACAAAGGACACAGTGTTGAACCAACATATGCTGTTTCCGGCTAAGAGGCATAGGAGGAACACCTACAGAGAGATGGAGCATCAGTGCTTAGGCTTAAGTCATAAAATTACCATCAATTTTCTGAAATTCGGTTTAGAATCTAGCTCAGTTTGGCATGAGAACAAGAGCATTTTAACAAACACTTTTAGTCCTCCCGTTCCTAGTTTAAAGATAAATTTAAATTGCTAAAATACAAAAAATGAAATATAAAGATATGATAGCATTTATTTTTGTTACAAGGTGATCAATATTACTTCTAGTATTAGATATACTTTTTTAAAGATAAATATAATGAGTTTTTAAAAGCTAAATATGATTTCCACTGTAATGTTTTTTTAAGAGAGTAGTTTTTTAGGACAAAATTAGTCCATGTATAAGCTGAAATTTGAGAGATTTTGTCTCTAAAAATTTTGAGATAGTTTCTCACCCTAAAACTTAAAAATTGAAATAGTTTCTCCCTCTAAAAATTTTAATATAGTTTTCTCTCTAAAATTCAAAATTTAAGATGGCATATCTCTCTAAATATTTTTAGGTAGTTTAAAATTTTGAGATAGTATATCTTTCTTTAAAATTTTGAAATCTGAGATAGCTTCTCTCTTGAAAAAAAAATTGAGATAGTTTCTCTCTCTAAAATTTTTAAGATAGATTCTCTCTTTAAAATTTGAAATTTGATATAGTCTCTCTCTAAAAATTTTGAGATGATTTATCTGTCTAAGACTAAAAATTATGAGATGGTTTCGCTCTCTAAAAATTTTAAGGTAGTTTCTTTTCCTAAATATTTAAAATTTGAGATAGCTTCTCTCTCTAAAAATTTTGAAATGGTTTCTTTCATAGTTTCTCTCATTAAAAAAATGTGAGATGGTTTCTCTTACAAAAAATTTTAAGATAATTTCTCTCTCTAAAAAATTTGAGCTGGTTTCTTTATCTAGAACTAAAATTTTGAAATAATTTCTCTCTCTAAAAAAATTTGAGATAGTTTCTCTTTCTAAAATTTTAGAACTTAAGATTGCTTCTCCTTTAAAAGCTTTGAGATAATCTCACTCTAATATTTTAAGTTACTTTCTCTCCATAAAATTTTTTATATAATTATTCTCTAAAGCTTAAAATTTGTGTTTTTAGAATTTTTGAGATAGTTTCTCTCTCTATAACTAAAATTTAAGATAGTTCCTCTCCTTAAAAGTTTGGAGATAGCTTCTCTCTCTCTCTCCCTCTCGCTCTCTCTCGAGAAAATTGAAATTTGGTATAGCTTCTCTCTAAAAACTTTGACATAGTTTCTCCTTCTAAAAATCTTAAAATAATTTATCTTGAGATAGTTTTTTTCTCTAAAACTTGAAATTTGATATAGTTTCTCCCTCAAAAAATTTTGAGAGCTGGTTGAAGGTTTTAGAGATTGAGAGAGATTGTCTTGGGTGGGAGAGATAGGAGTAACCTCTATTTTCATAGAACCAAAGGACCATTAATTGTTCTCAAAGTAAAAAAAAACCAGTGTTTGAGAGACTTGTGTCACCTCATGCCCAATGATGAACAGCTATTTCACCATTGCAATTTTCAACTATATATTTTACTGAAATATATAAAGGAAAAGGTTTATGTACTTCTCCTATACAAGATTTATGCTTCCCCTACTATCCAACTGTCCAATTTTGATCAAGAGAGCCACTCACCGTTTGATCTTAAATCCAATGTCTCAAAGTATTTTTTTTTATACAAATTGTATGAATATGAAATTGATCAAGAGAGTCACTCACTGTTTGATCTTAAATCTGATGTCTCAAAGTATTTTATTTTCAGTTTTTTTACAGAAATTCTATGAATATGAAATTTGGTACGTATCATCTTTTCATTGGAGCGCACTTATAAAAAATATTAAAAATAAATTTTTAATAAAATATAATGATCAAAATACTTTTCGAACTTTCAAAAGTATTTTGGTTATATTTTTCATTTTTTCGATAGTGCAAATTTAATAAAAGATTGGACGTACAAAATTTAGCGAAAAAAAATGAAAAATAAAATAATGTAGAGATGTAACATTGTGATTGAGGCAATCTCAGCCCTCCATACAAAAAAGAGGGGCTTGGAGCTAAAATAGCGTCGAAACGTGAATATATTCTCAATCAAAACCCCTGACTTGAGCTTGGAGTATCATATTTGACGGTCGATTCTTCTCTTTTCTGTAGTACCATTCTCCTATGTTCTAATTGAGATTTCTCAAAATACCAGTTCTGAAAATACTGGATCACAAAATTTCAAATCGACAACCTCCGCTTTTGCTTTGTTGCCCAAGGGAGCAAGTGCACAGCGTGCTCCCGCGGGAGGACTCTATACGCGCCTAGAAGAGTTGCGAGAACACGCAAACCAGCGAACGTAGCGCACGTGTCTCGACGAATTTATTTTTTGTTGATCGTAGCCCTTTATACCCCTTCCCGAAACTTTCCATGCTTCCCATTCGGTTCACGTAAATCCCTTTTGTACCCTTTTAAATTTAAAATTTTGGGATGTTACCTTTTATTGTTTTTGTTTTTATAAAATTTAATTTTTTTTATGTTAAAAAATTTTTCTTACTTTTTTTCTTTCCATGCTTAAAACGAATTTTACTTCTGTAGATCTCACTTTATAAATTTAGACATGAAAAAAAAAAAAAAAATTTAACGCAATGACCTATTTTATAATTATATCAAAATATCGTTTGAACTTGAAAAATGATTAATCAAAATATTTATTACTATGTTAATGGTTATTATTATTTATTTATTAAAAAAATTTATCAAAAAACTTATAAGAGATGAAATATTTAACAATTAATATATTATTGTTGTTGTTATTATTGTTATTATTATAATTATTAATTAATTATAATAACTATAAATTATTATTATAAATAAAATTTATATATCAAGTTAGAAAAAAAAATATGGATGACTAATGCATGGGTTTGGCCATTCGGCATATTGTAAAAC